GTCTACACTAAAATCTCAAGTGATCTCTATCATATCTGTGTAAGAACTACAATGGAAATAAGCGAAAAGGGTCAAATCAGCTCATATAAGAAATTTTACTACAGCCTTTCACACAAACATTAGCCCATTGTCAATGAGCAGCACCTTAACCTTGCCAGTGGTAGATGGAGATAAGAAGTGCTCCAGAGCAATGAAAATAAATCTGTATATTGGAAACATCACATATACTATTTGTGTGTGACAGTGAAAAAAATGCCCAAGCACATTTCAAACATGCATTTTCTCAGTAACGTATTCTTATTACTCAGTTCTCTACCTGGGCTATTTTCAGAAACTGAAAGCGCTGCTTCTCTTTTAAAGCTAGCCACTTCCTCTTTGACCATCTTCCCACTCCAAACATAAAACAGGTGCATCAGCAGTATTTGGCGTGTTCATAGCTAAAGAAGTTCTGTCTTTAATTCCCTGTGTTTCATGTAGCTTGCCTTATCTCAGCCATCAGCACTGATTCAAAGCTATTGAGTATCACAGCACTGACTACAAAGCCAAATTTGACAAGAGCTGGCTGGGGTTACAGCTGTGGGAGGACCTGCAGGAGGAGGCAATAGCTGCCTCTGGAAGCCAAGAGATGCCTGTCATAATGCTTCCTTCATCTTTCTCATTTGCTAAAGCTCAGTTTTCTTTGTTCTTTTATGAAAGGTGACTGGACTTATTAAGATTTCCAGATGCAAACAGAGAAATCATCTGACATCACTGGCAAGGAAAATGAAACAACCTATTTCATAGTGAAAGATTAATACAAATGTCTTTGGCAGAGTTATAAACAGTTGAAAACAGGGTCTTACACTGCAGAGGCTGAGGGAACTGTAGCTGTAGGCTGTGCTGACCATGCTACCTACAGCAAATGAAGCATTGACACAAGTAGCAGATGCTGCCTGTTACAGGAATGTAGCATCAGACAATATGGCCCTCTGCAAACTATGTTTTAACATGCCAAGGTAACCATGCTTTGTATTGCATTAGAGAGCAAAGGCAAGCAAGAGGTGATGTTAGAAAACATAATATTTCAAATGTCATTGTAAAATAAAACTCCTGCCAAATTTGAAATCAGAGCAAGCTGAAGGAAGAACTGTCATGAGCTGAACTTTTGGAAAAGATCCCCCTCACCTCCTGAGGATCTATAGTAAAAGATCACAGGTTGCTGACTTACAGTGTCATGGGCTGCAAGCAGAAGATGAAGTATACAAGTCCAGAACTGATGCCCCCTTCTCTTCCCTTGTCTCAGACTGAATGTTCACCCCAGTAAAACCCACTCCATTTTCCTCTCTTATTTACTCTTATAGTGCCTGTCCCTTCCCTGTTTGCCATCAGGAGAGTAGGTGTTTTCCATCAGGTGTGGTAGGCTGAAGTTATACTGTTTTATTACCTGTCACCACAGAGTTATAGAATCATAGAATTGTTTAGGTTGAAAAAGACCTTTAAAGTCATCAAGACCAACCACAAAACAAATATGTTCTGAGCTGAATAAACACTTCAAAGATGTTTTTTCTTAAAAACAAAACCCTTAAAAACAATTATGTGAGAGCTATAGGTAGTCTGTGTCATAACCATCTGGCACAGGAAACCTCAGAGTAATTCCACATTCATCTTCTAACTTCAGAATTAGAGGTCCTGAGCACAGAAGCTGGAAGAGACGTAGCGTGACGTCCATATTAGGAGGCATATATGAGTTTTAGGATATGTAATTGCTAACTGTGATTTTGGTTGAGTCTGCAATTGTCTCATGCTTATCTAGTGAGATAGATGCAAAAGACATTCTCAAGAGAAGGCTACAGATTGAGAGGTTTTTCAGACACATGTTGGCTTGCACAGTATGCATTCAAACCATCCTATTCACTACAGTTTTCAATGCGAGATGTCCGTTGTCTTGCTTTTCCTGCACCATTTATGGGAAAACTATTTATATTCTGAAGATAATTGGGATACTTCACCTCCAAATCATACTTTAGCAATGCCTTGATATTGTTTCCCAGTGTTCTCCCATAGAAAATTGCTACTTGAGGGTTGGAAGGGCGTACCCTTTGCTATGTAAAAAACTGGCTGGGTGGCTGAGCACGAAGAGTGGTGGTGAATGGAATTAAATCCATTGGCTGGTAGTTGGTCACAGGTGGTGTTCCCAGGGCTCAATATGGGGGCCAGTTCTCTTTAATACCTTTATCAATGATGTGGACAATTAGATCAAGGGAACCCTCAGTAAGTGTGCAGATGACACAAGTTGGCTGGGAGTGTTGATGTGCTGGAGGGCAGGAAAGCTCTGCAGAGGGATCTGGACAGTCTGGATCCGTGGGTTGTGGCCAATGGGGTGCGGTTCAACAGAGCAAAATGCTCGGTCATGTGCCTGGGCCAAAACCCCACACAGACTCCAGGCTTGGCAAAGGGTGGTTGGAAAGCTGCTCATGGAAAAGGGCCTGGGGGTGCCGATTGTCAGAGCTGAACATGAGCCAGCTTGTGTCAGGCAACCAAGAAGGCCAATGGCAATGATCATCCCCCTGTCCTGGGCACTGGTGAGGCCACACCTCGAATCCTGTGTTCAGTTCTGGTCCCCTCACTACAGGAGAGACATTGAGGTGTTGGAGCGGGCCCGGAGAAGGGCAATGGAGCTGGTGAAGGGCCTGGAGCACAAGTGTGATGAGGAACAGCTGAGAGACCTGCGGGGCTTGGTGTGGAGAAAAGAAGGCTCAGGGGGGATGTTATCACTCTCTACAACTGCCTGACAGCACGGTGGAGCCAGGAGGTGGCTGGTCTCTGCTCCCAGGGAACAAGGCATAGGACAAGAGGATATGGCCTCAAGCTGCACCAAGGGGGTTTTAGGCTGGATATTAGGAACAATTTCCTCCAAAAAGGTGGTCAGGCACTGGCACAGGCTGCCCAGGGCAGTGGTGGTGTCACCGTCCCTGAAGCTATATAAAAGTTGTTTAGATGTTGCCCTTGGGGATATGCTTTAGTGGTGGACCTTGCAGGGATGGTTAACAGTTGGTTGCGATAATCTTAAAGGACTTTTCCACATAAATGATTCTATGATTCTGTGATTTGTATTTTTCTGCATTAATAGGTAATGTCTGTCACATTTAAGACCATGGACAAGTTCAGTGTGGCGGATAATCCAGTCCTGTTGGTTTTCCCAGAATATTCAATTGAGTTGTATCCACACCATTACTACCCTGCTGCTTAAGAGCATCAAGAGTTTGCTAATTATTACTCTTTTAACGAGTAAAGGAGAAATAAACTGTACAAATGAAAGAGGTAGGATTAAATACGAATTACTAAGGCTAATTTCAGCTACCACATTTATTATTATTATTCAGCCTCCCAGTTAGGGATTTTTTTTTTTTTTTTTACTTAGAAACAGCTTCTGGAAGGTGTTTCACTTTGGCAAGTGGGAACTATCTTGGTTTTGCCAGCACTAATGATGGTTTTTATTTTAAATAAAAACTTTTACAAATCTCATTTCTTCTTATTTAAAGAATCCTGAACTCAGAAGTCATGTGATTATAGCAATCTTTCTTTTTTATTATAACTTAATAGTAATTTTTACTTGCAGATTTTTCAGGACTGAATGTTTGGATATAAACCTTGAAACAAATAAAGTTAAAAAAATTAATATGCAACAAAAAGGCTGACAAATACCTGCATATTTTGTGGAAATAGATAAAAGTCCATCTGTATATGCTGCCATATTTAGATGTTGGGTGGTGGTGGGGCATTAGCATAATCTGAAATCCTGTCCCCCCCAAGAATATAGGTGGGAGAGAGCTCTTATATGTGTGTATACCCCAGGAAAAGCTTAATGAGGAGTTCACATATTAGTTTTGAAAGTAAGTCAAAGAAGATAAACAAATGAGTCATCTTTTTCAGTTTCAGTACTGATTGAACTATTTATTGAACCCTTATGGTCAGAGACACAAATAACTTACAAAGGACTGAAACAATCTCCAGGGTGGTTGTTTTGGAGAGCAAAGTGCCTGTAACTGGGCAATTTTTCTATGTGAATTTTATCACAGTATGGAGCAAAGACACCCTCTCTCTTGCATTGCTTTACTGCCTGAACCAGGAAATGAATAATAGACAGACACCAGTTTTACTCCATGTGGGTCAGCAGAAAATTAAGATGCTGCAGGTATTATGCATTAATGCACCAGGGGGCTCTTTCCTTTCATAATGTTAATATTATTTCATTTTATAACGTTAATTGTAATATTAATTGAATCTAATTGCTGCCTGCATGCCTTTTTTGCTTAATTCTCTCTTTTTTGTCCACACACACCTTCAGATATGCCCTGCAGAGAAGCTAGTGTCTACATTGTGCTGGAAAACAGAATCATTATGTATCTTTATCCAATTCAGACTCCCATTTGTGAGAACATGAACCCTGAGGGGGAATTCGCTTAGCTCTCATTTTGCCTTTTTTAAAGCCTAGCTGTTTAAATAGGAGACCCTTTCCAATGTGGCTGCTTTCTCAGCTATCTCTTCTTTATATGGCTCTTTTTCCCTTAGCTTTGATTTGTACATGGGGAATATTTTTGATCAGATAACACCCACTGGATATGTTGCTGTCTTTGTTCAGGACATTGGTTTTGTAAGCTGCAAAGCTGATAAACACTTATATGTGCCTTGTTTCCTTTTCTGCATAAAGATTCTATTGAGACATAAGCACATCTGGGGAAAACATGTTTTTTAATATCATAGTTGTTATTAATTTTAAATTCAACACTATCACATTTGATGTCTGCATCTTCAAAAAATGCAAAATGATGCCTTGTTGTCAATAATGAATACAAGCCTAACAGAGAAGAAGAAAGAGAATCTGCCTTAAGATTCTTTTGTTATAAAATTCTTATCTGAAAAAAAGGACCTCTGAGAATATTAAATCTTGACTTTTTTTCTGTTACCCTCTTGAAAGATTGAACTCTTGTTAAACTTGCGTTGCTTCGTTGTCTCCACAGTTCTGATGCCTTACACAACAGTTTTCCCTTTAAAATAAATCTTTGGGACAGAAGATAAAATAAATGCCATGCTCTAGTGACTGGCATGTACCAACTAGAGTCATATTCACATGAGAAAACTGCTTGACAAATATTTCATCTATCTGAGATATTTTCCATCTGAGTTGCCTTGCTATTCTGTTCCCACAGCATTCTCTGCATTGCACAGTGGAAAAGCAAAGACATTTAACTTCTGCAGTGGACTGGGAGCTTCAGATGTTAAAAACCAGGTCTTTATTTTTTTTTCAGGTCTTTTTTTTTTTTTTTTTTTCCTGTTGGCATAGAATAATGGAAACAAACTTAATAGCATCACTTTTCTCTGAATACGTCTGCATAAAAGGAGAAAATCTGGAAGAGGTTAGCTATATAACTCAAAAGCCCTTGCATACAATAGCTAAAAATTCCCATGAACTCAGACTATTTATGTATTTTTTGTAAAATCATGAAAAGGACACAAAAACATCTTTCTCGTCATTAACAGAGGAATGTAACTTGCCTAACTATACAAAAGTACAACTGACAGAAAATAAGCAAAACATTCAGAAATACCTGTATTCCAAATCATGAGGACATTGAAATAATTTTATGCAGGTCAATTTATTGGAAACCCTTGTTACAATTAACTGAGCAGGTAATTTTTAACATAAATTTATAATGACAGTTCTTGTCTAGTGCCAGCCGTAAGGGCAGTATGCCAGCATGGTGGGCACAATGCATTCCTTCATCCTTATAGAAAACAAACAAAAAACATATTAACTGTATAAGAACATTAAAAATAAACCACTTATTTAAATAAGAACAATTTTAGAGTATGTTGAGTGGTTCCTTCTTCAGTTTAAAAAAATGGAACCTAGGACAATTCATTTCACTGTTCTTCATGGATTTAGAAAAACTAGCACAGCTTTAATAAAAATGCACCACTCTCAGAAAAAAAAGGAGGAAATGGTGGAAGGTTACACAAGTTGTTCCTGATCTTTCACACAAAAAATAAGGCTAAAACTCTCAGTTAATCAGATAGAGTTAAAACAGCACAGATCCACCTTTTAAGAATTAATCATCTAATATGCCTGTAGAGCTATTTGTGTTCCACCATGAAGTAACCAAACAACTGCACAGCATGCATTTGATAAACTCAAATAGAATTTCACTTGAAAAATTACTATTTGCTTGCAGAGCAGGAGAAAATGCTATTTTTGTGTGTGTGTTATTTATTGCAAAATTTTAACTCAGCTCTTGCTATGAGTGGGATTGGCAAAGTAAGTCAAAAGGCACCATGTAAGGGAAAATCTTCAGCAGTTAAATGCTGGATTTCTGTCTCTAACACACTGCCTACATCTGCTTGGAAATCCCAGGTAAAAAACGAGGCTGATTTCAGCCTGATGACACGTTACATAGTTTTGGCATGTTCCAAAGCTCTACCTTTGGATCACGTTAACACAAGTGTGTTAACACTCAGCATCCTTTGGAGCATGATCTTGTAATTGTCATTGACTCTCTGCTACAATAAACAATAGATTTCAGTTTTCAGTGCTGCCAGCTCTTTAATCTTCCTAAGGACAAAAAGTTCATTCAAGATAAATTGAACTGATGGGTACTCACAGTACTCAAATTGGATTAGGCTTGAGTATTTTCTATTCTAGGAAAACTGAGTATAAAGTTGTATAGTACCATGCATATCAGTGTTTCTGGGCAGGCAACAAAAATTGTGCCTCAGTTTAGGAGGGTTACTCTTGCCTGGGCTACAGTATGAAATGAAATGGAGTGACAGATATCAGAGAACACTGTATTTACTTTATATTTTCTTAAGGCAATATTTCAGGAAAAATAAAAATCATACAGAAATCCCGCATTTTTTATAGACAATAGCTAATGCAAGATTTTTTCAAGAGCAGGAGTCTTAATTTTTTGTTCCTAAATCCTTGTTAGATTCTTAAGTAAATGACTGATTTCTAACAGTGCTGATCACCCAGCACAGCAATCAGGGTCCCATGAGAAAACAGCTTTGTAAACAGTGAATCCATCTGAAATGTTTTCTAGCTGGCTTCCTGTGCTTGAGCTCAGTTGGAGCTTGACATAAGCTTTGCTTTTGAAAATCAAACTACTTATTTTGGTGCCAAAATTTGGGAAACATGCTCTACAGTCACATTTGTACCTGTGAAGGTCCATTAATTTCTCTTGGAAAGAAGAAACACATGGGGTAAAAAGAAAAATACATAATAAAATTCAATTGCCTTCATTAGCACAGCCAGAAATTTTCAAGAAAAAAACAGATTGGGGTAAGGATCATGATATTTCACCAGACCGCAGACTAGGCAAAATTATGAACTTCTGATTGTTAATCTTTCGCTAAAACCTGTCAGTATCTCCTTAATTAAACAGAGCTTTTCTTCAGTGAAACTTTTCATGTCAGAATTATACAGACTTCCAATTCTGACATTCAAACTAGTTCTTGGCAGGTGTTAATGAGGTACCTTAGTTTGTTTTAATGAGGAACAATGCACAGCTTCATTTATACATGAGAAGAGAAACAGGAAGATTTTTGAACAGGTTTTGCTCTGTAATCCAAGCAAAACCTACAGACTCTGCTACTCACCATTAATAGGATGACATAAAGAGTTAGCAGGATTTTTTCCTGCCAAATACCCTAACCTCATGTGGCTACATTTGAAAAGTGGAAAATCATTGTTATCTCATATAGATCCTTGCAATGTACCATATGTATCTGGTGAATGAGCATCAAACTGACCCTGTGGGTGTATGCTGCACATCCTGCCAGTCCATTGATTTTGGGACCATACAGAAAACAAAAGGTTGGCTTTGAGAAAGGGCCATGAACTCACATTTAGGGGTATAATTTTGCACAAGTCAGAACAGAGGAGGGACAAAACTGTCTTCCAGACAATATGCTTCAGTATGGGGAATGCTAATTATAATGTTGGAGAGCTATGGGGTCACGCTCTTTCCACTATTCCGTAATTATGCTCCAGGAAGCGCAGCAAACTAGAGGTTAACTTCTTTGGTTCACTTTTTATTATGCTTGGGAATTTCATGCAGATGCAATGCATAATTCCATAAGAATTATATTGTTGGTTATCATTAATGGCTGCTTGTTATGAAGTGCGATATTCCTACCTTTTAAAATTCAGCGGCATTCTAGACAGGCCTTTCGTCTGTTAGGATCTTGCCCAATAAATTACTCAATAGGTTGCATACAGTGGCTGGAGCAATATAATAGCATCACCCTTGGAAACTGTGTGGAACAGTATTGGTAACCACAGGAGCAAAGGGGCACTGCTTCACAAGGATGTCTTTCACTGGCGCAGACGGTCAACCAGAGGGCAAAACACCATGTTTCAGGCTAGATATAGATTTCAAATGGGGCTGATATTTGGCAGGCGGGAATCATATACATAAAGCTGACTTTGAAAAAATGTCATGCAAAAAAGAAAGATCCACTGTTACCACAGGAATCTGAATATATTATATAATGCTTTATTGGCTGGGTCTCGTTTGAGGAGGAAAAACAAGTTGAACTGACCCAAACTGAAGCCTTTGGGAGCAGAAGGACATCACTTCTGGGCTGGCTTCTTCTCATTTACCATTTGGTTTCTACTGAGTGCAATCCTGGTAGCATTTCCTAGGTGGAGAATGCCTTCCTTAATAACTGGTTAGTATCAGATCTCATTCCAGTTCAATATGCTTGAGACGGTTTAAGTAGCTTCATATATAAGATGTTGCTGGAATTCACCGTACTGCTTTTATGGTTAATCCTATAAACTCCATTTACCTGCCAGGTCATGAGAGAAAAACATTATGTATGCATGTATCTATCTATCTATCTATCTATCTATCTATCTATCTATCTATCTATCTATCTATCTATCTATCTATCTAATCTATCTCTCTCTCTCTCTCTCTCTCTATCTGTCTCTCTATCTCTCCATATATCATTTATTGCTGGGGCCTCTTCTCTGAGGGAAGTGAAAGGAGGGAGTTTGCTGTGGAGCCCTGTTTCTGTGGGATCCCTGATGTGCACAGTGAATTTGCTGTGAAAGCAAACCAAGTCTTTTTCAGGTAGGAAAACATCCTCTCTGGGAGACACCTATTCTGGAATAGATTTTCATACAAGATGTTCTCATGTTTTAAATATTACCTCCTGTAACATGTTAGAACATGTTCATCGTTATATTAAAACAAAGTCTCACCTGAGGCTAGTGCCACAGAACAGTTTCTGAAGTCTCCTTAAGTAAATGCATGAAGAAGGGACACAGCTTTTTGTTTTCTATCCAAAATAACCCCTAACTCTTTGCAGTTGAATTGATAAGATGTTAGGGCTGGCTTCAGAGTGAGTCTGAGGCACGGCTTGAGTTAGTGTTTCTGGATCTGCAGCAAGATGCCTCAAAGGCTGGCGGCACCAGCTTTGCTATGTGATGCTTTGCCTGTATATTACTGCTTATGTACATTCCCAAAGATGTCTGACAGTGTCTCAGCTACCAATTCAACATATATCTGCACTATGGCAGAAGCAGTCTTGAATAACCATGAACAGCCTGTACATACCCTTCATGTGCTCCATACACTCACTTATAGATATGTGCCTGTGTAATATTTACATCCTTAATATACCTCATTATAGTCAAGGACAACTTATATGCAGTTAGAAGCAAAAATTGCTGCTATCAAATGAGAAGTGCAGTCACTCCTTAAAAATTGAGAAGATTATCTCTGAAAAGCCTTTTCAAAAAACTCTCTCCTCTGTTATTAACACCCTAAGAAAAGATCTTAAGAAAAATGGGATAATTTTCCAAATGTAAAGGACAATATAAAACGATGTTTTTTGTGAAATTTTTAGACTAAAACAGGTCCTCTCTTATTAAGCAACAGCTCATGTTGCATGCTAGAGACTCTAAACGCTCTTATGGCACTTCTACGTATTAATTGTCCGATTTTATCAAAGTTAGTAATAATTTACTTATTATCAGCACTGGGGTCTGAATAATATTTTCCTTTCCATTAAGTTTATTTCCTAGGATTTTTTGACAGTTATATCCTTTCATCATTAATGTTACTTCTCATCACAGACTGAACATTCACATGAAAGATCAAATCACTGTTATTTTGACTTGTTACTATTTTTCCATCTGGATTGTTAACCCATCATTTTTATGGCATTTTACAGTAGTTGCTATATTTATAGCATATCTGCTAGCCCAACTCATTGTATAGACTAGCATTTTGGAGGATAATTTTAAAAGAAAACCTCTTTATAAACTCACACATAGTAACATTAATCTGTCTCCCATTTCTTTTCCTTTAGTGCTTCCTGATATCCTAAGAGTATTATTTCCTTACTTTCCAACTGAAATTTTTCCGTTTTTTATTCTCCAGTCAATAAAAAGGCTTCCAGCAGCCTTGCTGCAACTAACACCAGATTTCAGTATCACAAAAGAAGGGACCGTGATCTTACAACTGAAGTCAGAAATTCATGTGATAGGAAAATTAAGCTCTATTTTTGATAGGCTTTCTCTATGAAGATCATACAAAGACCATTCTCATTAACAGAGAGCTTCATGAACATGATAGGATGACTACTGATAGTCTTTTTATAAGGTAAAAATTTTTTTTCTTTCCCTTTTTTTTTTTCTGTATAGACACAGAAACTCGGGTATAAGAGTTTATGGGCTTTGCCTGAATACTTGTCAAATGTTCCCAAAGCAATGCCACTTTTTCTTTATTATCCTGAAGTGTCTTATTCCCAAAGAGCCCTATGTGACCCTGGGACAAACCCTCTCTCATATAGGAGAACTGAGTCCATCTCACATTACCCCAGTGGGACTCATATGAAACCTACGGTTATTGTAACACCTTGGTATCTGGAAGCATTAAGATCATTAGAAACAACAAGAGGCCAAGGAAGAGTTAAGGATCTAAATAGATGGGAGAGAAAGGAGAAAAGATTTTTATGCCACTTTCAAAGATGAGAAGCAGAGTCAGTGAGAAATGAAATTAATTTCCAAGAGCACACAAGGAATTACTGGCAAAATTGAGAATTTAACTTAGATGTCCTCTTTCTAAGTGCAGTCTGTTGCTCTTTTAAGAGAAAGAAGCAAATAAACCCTCAATCTCAATTTTTCATACCTGGCTAATTTACGTGTAAAGTCAATCTAAGACATCTTTTAGATAAGGTTGTAAAATTAAAGCAACTGATAGAATAAATTGAGCTATATTCATCTGTATGCTGAACATGAAGATTTAAATTCTTCTATAAATAAAATGGGATGGCACTGGGATAAAAGAAAAATCTGATTAACAAAAATCTACATAGGTTATATAGTTTTTTGGTTTTATGACTCACTTCTGCACATTTTGTGCCTAGCACAACAGGACTCTGGCTTAAGTGTTATGTAGGTAATAAAGATGTTTGCAGTAGTGGTATAGCTTTATAAAACTAAAAGGAGCCTCATAATTTGCATGCATGTCAGTAAGGTGAGATCAGATGACTGTAGCCCCCTTTTAAAAAATAAGGTTTATCCTGTTATGACAGTTGAGCAGGCACATGCTTTTAGTCTGCTTCTGACATAGAAATCAATGGGATTTTGTCTATGATGCTGAACAGAGCAGAATTGGACCCTGAATCTTCATACAGAAATGCTACAATTACCTGTGTAAGCTGGGTAGTTGTACTCACTGCTGGACAGATGCTTAATTCTGAAGACCAGTTTAAAAAATGCTGTGAAAACCAAATGCCAAATTATCATGTTCAGCTGATTCCAACCACAAAATTGTAGGCGCAGGTACAAGTGACTGTGTGTACAGCCTTAATCTATGTACGTTTGATTTGGAACAAAATTTTTATTTTGCTTTGAAAAAACAACATTCCAAGCAATTAAACAGACCAGTGAAGATTCTAAAAATATAGCAAATGTTGTAAAAATGCCATTAAAATGACGGGTCAGCAGCAGTCAATCTGAAAATCATAGCAACAAGACAAATTAATGGTGATTTGAGCTACATGTGAATATTCTGTTCTGCCTCTGAGGGAAAGTAAGAAACAAACTTAATGGAAAGAAAACACGATTTTCAGAATCCTTTGCTGATAATTAATAAATTATACCATCTCCATTAAAATATGAAGATGATCTTGCAGGTCTCTTATATGAGACACCATTAACAAATAGACCAAAACTTCTGCTGAAAGAGGAAGATGTCCTGACTGAGTCATCCAAAGATGCACTGCAATCAAGACGCTGTCTTCCTGTCAAGGACCCTCATTCAGAAAAATACTGTTATTTGTCTTAGCGAAATGTTGCCTTGTACAAATAATAAGGTAAAAATTCAGAAGTTAAAAAGAAATAATGTTTGAGATGTGGGTTCAACATCTGCAACACCTTTTCCCATGGCTCCTTCTCTGTTGGAGCGAGTCCAGGAAAGGCCATGAGGATGCAGCAAGGGCTGGAGCAGCTCTGCTCTGGAGACAGGCTGAGAGAGTTGGTCTGGTTCAGCCTGGAGAAGAGAAGGTTCCTTAAGGGGAGACCTTAGAGCAGCTCCAGTGCCTGAAGGGGTTACAAGAAAGCTGGAGAGGGGCTTTGGACAATGGCCTGTAGGGACAGGACAAGGGGGAATGGCTTTAACCTGGCAGAGGGGAGACTGAGATGAGCTCTTAGGCAGAAGTTCTTCCCTGTGAGGGTGGTGAGTCCCAGGCACAGGTTTCCCAGAGAAGCTGTGGCTGCCCCATCCCTGGCAGTGCTCAAGGCCAGGTTGGATGGGGCTTGGAGCAAACTGGTCTAGATTTTGGAGGAGATATTAACTGTAAAGGCCTACCTGTGATTGTGAGGGCTGTCAGTTTGGCAGACGCTTGAGTCTTCTGAGCACCTCAGTTTCTCTCCTATCCTCAGCAACAAGCCATAAGGGCATCACTGGAAGTGGTGATGGAAACACGATGTTTGCAGGTTGTGTACTTCCATGTACCTCATGTGAGAGCAACGTGCTTCTACAGGGCTGTTTCTGACTGTGAGTATGGAGCCCATGAGGCCAGGGCAGTCCCTGCTGTGAAGATTGTGCCAGCCTCAAACACGTTATGGGAAGCCTTTGGTGCATTGCCCAATCCCACGCTACCCTCATAAACCATATCTTCCAGACCACTTCTTAAACACACAAGAGATATTCTTGTGCTGCTGCAGCATAGGACTCCTCCTCCTGTCAGGAGTTAGTATTGCTGTGATGAACTGCCAGGATTTAGGGTAGCTGCTCATCCCTGGAATGCCAGTGACTGCTTGGTATGGCAGTGCCGTCAGGAAGCTCCCCAAAATCTGATAATCCAGCTCTGTTGCCCAAAATTTTGGCTGTTTTTGCCAAAATCTCAGGATGCTCACAGACGACCAGGAGGACAACATCTGCCTGTTAGACTTACACTGATGCTAAGACAATATGGAGTTCTTGTTTCAATAATTGCTGTGACTTCCAGAAGCTGTAACACACTATCCTCCTGTGCAATACAGTGCTGCCTGCCCAGAGAAATGCTTACTGACTTATTGTCTTTCTACAGGTCTAAAAATCTGTGGAGTTTATGACATCCTTCTCACTTTGAGCCATACTCTGCACTTCTGGCCACAGCTCCTTCAAGCTGTGGAGCAATGTATCAGAGGGGCCATAGCTGCAGGGATCAATTTCGGGAGCATATTTTATTGTTACTGAACTAAATCTTTGGGAATGGGAGCTTCAGTGCAGGCAACATTTCTTAATGGCCACCCAGCATGCCCAAAAGGTTGTATTTCATGTTCACTGCCACCTGCTCATCCACAATACAGCTTTTTGCCTCCTTCTTCCATGGAGTATAGGGAAGCTGCAATAACCCTTAAAAACACAGCCTTTAAACATACCCTATTGGAGCAGGATTTGTTCATTGGACGAGAACTGTACCCCCACCTGCTACAGATTTGCAAGTAGCTTTTTCTGCAACAGCACAGGGCTCTGCTGGAGTGGCTTCCAGATATATTTTCCCATGGATACATCAACAGGCATCCCTTGCTCTCACCCCCCCGTCCCCCAGCCTTCTGCACCTTCTGCGTGCCAGTTTTGTAGAGTCTGGGAACTATCTCTGTGTTTGATTTCCTAGCAGTTAAGGAATATAGCTATCTGAATTGGTTATGTAAAGAAAAAAATAAAATTAAAAGAGAAAGATTTTATTCTGAATTCTCTTCCCAGTCCCTAGTGAGAACTCAGTTGCTTGCATGCCGCACTTCTGAGCTTTACTCCTGCAGTCATAATATACATGTTCAGCAGTCCCTGAGCGACAGCTTCAAGAATGTGAGTTCCTGGGTCTGCTGTTGCCTTCGAGGCATAGATAACCTTTGCAACATTTCCTTCGTTGTCAGCCACAAGCGGGATGCTTGCAAGAGTCCATCCAGGAGCTGGGGTTCAACTTGCTGCAGCTGGTGCTCAGTATTTCATGTCAATGCAGAAGGAGTGTTTTGGGGTTCTGGTGGGTCAGCACAAACAAGTTAGACCCTTTTGCAGACCCTGTAAACCCTGCAGCTTGTGCTAATAATCAGGCAACAGTGTCAGACACTGCCAGTTGTCTGGTTTGGTGCTCACTGAGCAGAAAAGTAAAAAACCCCAATAAATTAGACCAAGAGGAAAACCAGAAATTATTTTGTATACAAGACTTCTGTGATTAAGAAAGTTTCTAAGCTCAATACTGAGGTAATAAAGCCATTAGCATTAGAAAGACCTTATTTTACAAAGCTGTCTCTGCATACTGTATTGCCTATTCTGCTCATACTGCTTCAGTCCAGTCACGCAGTTAGCTTATGAAATGCGAACTCTGAAAGCCCAAACCTATTAAAAATGCTTCCCATTGCCAAACAAAGCAAAAATCTTTCCACTTTGGAATGAGCAACTTTCTGTGATCAACTAAGTCTGTTCTCTGATGAAAATAAATGTAGAATTCAGATCAATGAAGCGTGTGTGAAAGGGAAAGAGAGAGTGGGTGACTGGAAGTGAGAAATGGAAGGAGCTGTGTATCCTTCAGTTTCCATATCTGCACATTCTAGCTAATAAAAAAAAATATATAATAGCTTGTAGTACTTCCAGCAGAAATGGGAAGCTGTGACTGTACAGTCTGCAGCGAGCTTGAATCATGTGAACCAAATGGAATATCCTGTAGATTTTCTATAGATCTGCTCTCCACACACTTTCAAATAACCTTTAACAAAAGCAATGAATCTCTGCTGCATTGTAAAAATCTCAGTGTGTTGTGCTAACATGACATTAATGAGAAGTATCTTAAAGGATTTATCTTAAAGTATCTTAAAGAAGGTTACAGAACTTCAGTAAATAAATCTAATTGTCCACCTGTATCATTTTGCTGAGATATGTTTTTTCATTGGTTTTTAAAGAGAAGCGGGGGTGGGGTGACTAGTTCAAGCTGCAAAACCAAAAAGTTGTGTGGTTTGCTGCTTCTGTGATCTCTCTTCCCCACCCTCTGAGCTCTGCAATATTTTGGCAAAGATTCAGCTCCTGTATGAGATATGACATAGCTAATATAGGCCAGTATATTAGACAGACTATTAAGTAAGGTGAGAAGACAAAAAAGCAGGTGCACTAACTCCTCACAGAGTTCCATTACTGAACCGTTCCCAGGAACTACATTAACTTTGGAAAAAAAGAGAAAAAAAAAATTATCCAAACAGACTGCTGAAGGCTAAGTACATGGGGCAGCTGGTAAGTACTACCTGCAAGGATGTCCACTCAACCCACAGGACTCATTCCTGCATTATATTCTGTCCATGAGATACTTTCTCTCTGCTAATTCTTAGGTGTATCAGGCGACATTCCTCCTGGGTGTCGCTCAGGGACTGATTAGTCCCCTTTTAGGTCATGGCATTCTCGCTCCAGCTTCATCCAGCTGAGATACACGTTGGCACCCTGCTACAAAATTATTAGAGGCTTGACTAAGTGCAAGGGTAGATTGTGTTTATCATATTCTTGTCAGGAATTTGCCACTGAAGTCCAGGCAGATGTATGTAAGAAGTATGCAATGTAGAACTCTAATGGCGTGTACAGAATAGGAAAATCTTTTTGTTGTTTCTTATCCTGGAGTGGAGGGAGGACTGACATCCCATTAAACTGATGCTATTAAAACATGACCTGCAATCCTAATAAAGTCCTTTATTCATCCATTTTTTGTTTCAAGAAGCCATTTTATGTCCATTGCCTCCCAGGACCTTGTCTGAAGAAGGACAAGGGAAGATGCAGAGACTACGATGCTCTGAGCAAAGAGGCGAGACACTGCTCATCCAGATCATACTTGGAGTTTGTGGTTCTGACTTTCTGGAGTGCTTGCTGTGAAACTCACTTTGCATGGGGTGATAAATTTCCCACTGACTTTGCAGTGGTTGTTCTGAAAAGTATGTCTCATGCAAACAGAAATGTAGTGCAAATCTTCCGTTCTTGAACTGGTGGCTGCAACCCTGCTCCGGAGCTGATCATTCCCTCTACAGAACCAGCTGCAATGCTAGCAGTGCAAGTGCCTATATAATATGCCTCTCTTAAACAGTTATGGCTTTCCTCTCTTTTATCCAACCTCTTCTTTTCCTTGAGAACATATTTCACCCATGTTGGCAATGCTAGTAACTCTGAAGGGGACATGTTCTTTTATATTTCAGAAGCTTTCACATTGTGCAGATACTGAAGAGTCCTGAAGCTATAAAAGTTATATATAAGGGAAATTCTGGTAACATTATTAATGCCTGTCATTTTCAAGATAAAAGCATTTCCCCAGTCTCCTTGTGATCTGATGGATTTATTGGCACATAAAATTAGTACCTTTCAGTCTTTGAAACCAAGTTACATCTTAGTGACCTGATTCTCCCCCAGATCAGCAGACAGCCCCATGCAGGTGTGAATACTTTACAGGGACTAGATTCTGCCTTGGTGGGATTCGCTATTCCTTGCATGTATGGAGAGAAAAAATCTTGAGGATAATGACTACTTTTTCAGTACAGTACAGGGAAGATGCAAATTGCTACTCTCTAAGCTTCACACACCTTGTATTACAAATCATACAGCATCTTGCCAATGCCTCTTGTTTCATTCTGGGTTGTATATTATAAGCACTGAGTATGTCTGAATGCCCCTGACTAATTATTGCTGAAATATCCACTGTTAACTAAGAGTATTACCATGAGGAAACCATTATTAATACATAATACCATTGTGCTATTACTAATATTGCTATAATTCTTTTATTCTTCAACCCCCATTTTCAGTGGTTTTCATAGTAAAATTACCTTTGAGGCTAAAACCTGACATTTGTTCTCAAACCAGAGGAAACGAAAAAATAAACAGCTGAATAAAATCCATGCAGTCATTTCAGAACAATGAAGCTGGGGAAATATTATGGGGCTTTTATCAATTAAGTGTATCTTCCTCCCTCCCTCCCTCCCTCCTTCCTTCCTTCCTTCCTTCCCTCCCTCCCTCCCTCCCCCCCCCCCTTCCTTCCTTCCTTCCTTCCTCTCTGTCCTTCCTTTCTTCTTCCTTCTGCCCTTCCTTCTTTTCTTCTGTTCTTTCTTCCTTTCTCTATTTCTTTCTCTCTCTCTTTCTTTCTTTCTTTTCTTGCTTTCTTTTCTTTTTTCTTTTCTTGCTTTCTTTCTTTTCTTTGTTTCTTTTCTTTCTTTCTTTCTTTTCTTTCTTTTCCATTACACACTCTCTCAAATAAGTAGTTTTAATTTAAAGATCTAAATTTAGCATGTGCAGAGTTTTCAATGAAGATCACATGCTTTTGTAAGTTTGGAAAAAATGGTTAAGAAGCACATTATATGCACAGTATATATTATTTTTCCATCCTGCTTCATCCAGCTCAATCCTCTGGGACACAAAGACTGCCTGAGAAATGGGCAATGCTGTTTATTCCCAATGAAACCACTATGAGCAGAGAACTTCTAAGAGCCCAGGGACATGGATGTGTAAACTTCATGTCCCTCCCACATTTACAATGGCTGCAAAGCTTTAAACCTGTCTGCCATGTGAAAGCTAGGGCTTCTCTTCAGCTAGATTCACAAAAATCTACTTTGGCTGCCTTTAATAACCTAGAGTACAGCCTAAACTCTGTCCTTCCCAAGCTATATTCTCCAGCTCTTTCTTTCACCATGGACTCTGTCCCTCTGTGTAATTAGCTCAGGCCAGACCCATGGTGTACTGGTTATTCTGGTTCCACGTGGGAACCAGCTCATCCCCTCCCCTTGCTGCTGTCCTGAGCCAATCTCGGAGCCCTCTGTACTCCCACTGTGTTGGTGACATGCCCTACAGTTTGGGAATGGCTGCCACAATTAAACTGTTCAAAACTGAGGAGCCTGCAGGGTTTGATTTATGGGGAAAAGCCATAAACTAAATATAGCTTTGTTAAATGATGAATAAGTTGGGATTAATAGTTTTACAGAAATAAATGGCATGTATGTTCACCAGAACAGAGAAAATTATTAAACAGGAATGTAGAGATAGAAGTGAGGAGGTTTCTTTGTACCTCCACCTCGTCTCCTCCTTGCTCCATTGCCCTTTCTGCTTCCCACGTTGCCTCTGGCGAGGATTCTCCAGATGGGTGGTGCAGCCAGGGGTTGCAGGCAGAGTTGTGTGGAGCCCCACATGCCTGGTTGCTCCATGTGATGCTGGAGTGCCTCTTTAGGCTCTCTTGTAAGCTGGCACATGTCCTGGTGCTGACTTCTTGATAGTCATTCTGGGATGGCAAACCTGCAATGCTCCATTGATAGAACTAACAGGCTGGAGATTGCTCAAGGCAGATGTTGTCGTGAGGCCTAATTTTGCTGGCATTAGATGCCAATTCATTTTTTTTAATCACTTTTTTTTGGGGGGGGGGTTGGGCACTAAATTGCACTGTTTTAAAACAGGAAGTCTACGTTAAAAAGCTGTGTAAAACCATTATGTTGTAGCCAGCACTCCAGGCTTTTCTAATTAGGTCATTTGGAAAAAAGATGACCTTTTAGTTTCTGTGCTGCTTTTTCAGGGTCACATGTTCCTAATTATCATTTGTATTTTACTTCACTAAAGCTGTTGACAAGCTGTGACTCTGTGTGCGCGTGTGTGTGTCTGTGTGTCTGTGTTTTGGTTTGTGTGAGGGAGGAAAAAAGGTCAAAAAAGAGAGACAGTACACATGCTTCATAGGGTTGCTGTCTGCAAGTGTTCAGCCAGCAGAAGAGGATATGTATGCATTAATTTTAAGCTGGTCCAAGTGGAAGCCTGAGAACCTATAAGGTGAAGAAACCCAAAAGAGTTTTCCAGAGCCTATGTCCTTTTCAGCCAGCTTCCCCTGAGCTTGTCCAAAGTCCCTTCATGAGTGTTTGCTCTCTCTTGGGCTGAGCATCATGGGAAGCAGACCGCGAGGGACAAGCAAGAGGCTTTTCAGCTTCTTTACAAATGTTTGCCAGAAAGGCAGTGAGGAAACAGCTCTACGACTGGGACAATACAGAAAGACAAATTTTTAAAAGGAAGAAAATCTGCATTTTTTTGAGCTGCATTTTGAGTATAGAAAATCTGCCATCAGAAGAACACATCTATTACAGTTGCTTGATTCATTCTGTGTCTTACACTGAGCCTTATAGTGAGCACAACTGTAGACCAACACACGCTTCTTGCAGAACAGTAGGAAAGTATAAGAAAGGGCCTTGATCTCTTCATGAACTGGTCTATTCATGGCTAACAGCACAGAGACATACACAGAGAGGCTGAGAGAGCTGGGCTTGTTCAGCCTGGAGAAGAGAAGGCTCCGGGGAGAACTTAGAGCAGCTCCAGTGCCTAAAGGGGCTACAAGAAACCTGGAGAGGAACTTTGGACAAGGACCTGGAGGGACAGAACTTGGGGGAATGGCCTTAACCAGGGGAGATCCCCTTAACCAGAGGGGAGATTGAGATGAGCTCTTAGGCAGAAGCTCTTCCCTGTAAGGGTTGTGAGGCCCTGGCACAGGGTGCCCAGAGAAGCTGTGGCTGCCCCATCCCTGCCAGGGCTCAAGGCCAGGTTGAACAGGGCTTGGAACAACCTGGTCTAGTGGAAGGTGTCCCTGCCTGTGACAGGGGGTTGTAGCTGGATGAGCTTTAAGGTCCTTTCCAACCCAAACCATTTTGTGATTCTATGATTCTGTGATATTGGAGTTGCATGGTCATGGGCAAGGGCAGCATGTCAGGTCCTAGGCACTGAGGCGAAATGAAAGTGGAACTCAGACATGCACTTTTGAGTGCAGATAGCAGTGGAAGGAAAGGAGTGCTGTGCTTGGGGAAGCTGTGAGGTCCATTCTGGAGCAGCAAAGCTATGGGCACAACTTTCTGCTGCAGGCACAAGGGTACTGGTGTGCATGGGTTGGTGGGCTGGCTTCTCTTCAAAAGTGTTTGCTGCAGAGCAATGTACAGCTGCTGTCCAGAGCTCCAACAGAGCCACATTATTGTTGGAATGAAAAACAGAGAAAGAGACTTCCAGGATATTCTCTCAAAGAAGACAACATATATAATGCATATTCTAAGATCCACTCAATATTCCAATCTGTTGCACTAGAACTGACTTCATCCATTGGTTCTGCTGCTTGAAAATAAAAGGTACTCTGAACCGCCCACCCGTTAATGACCTTTGGATTTAGACCACCAGCTTGTCTAAAAAAGAGTTTAGTCCTTTGTTAGCTAATCTTTTGTGCACCCCTGCTTAAACTGTGGTAGGTAGTAGTAAATTTTGTGGTGCAACGAACTGTTAAGAATTTAGATCTTCTGACTCAGCATAGCTGCTCACTGGGCACTCATGATTATTTCAATTGTACAGTAACTGGAAAATGAAATCAAGATCCTTGAGATCTGACACCGGGTTGTACTCACTGTTCCAGGAATGTATTTCATCTGATCATTTCTCATAGGAAAAATCTGTTTACAAAGAATACTGAAAAGGGGAAAGAATTCCCATCTGTGATTGCTGCTTTCTGAAGATTATGCTATAGCTTCATGTGAAACAGAGGGAGCATTTTTCACTTCAGCAAAGATCATGAGGCAGTTCTTAATGAGAACATGGTTGGGTGAATTTTTACTGAGAATGTATCCCATGGGTTAAAAATTGATTGTGCTGTGAGAGCATGGGCAAACATCTACCTTTGTGAATGGCCCTGATTTAGAAAAACACCAAACGGGTGCTGGATGTTAAATTTGAATTTTTGGATGTCAGTTTTGAAACAGGCACCAGTGTTGCACAGGCTTCCCAACTGCAATCTGAAAGGTTGCTATGACAGTTTTCAAGGTTTCTTTAGTTCTTGGCTATCTGTAGGTGGTTTCCAGGAAGAGGCACAAATTAGCATTTGCAGAAAGACAACTTACCTATAAATTGATGTTAAAATATATCTGGCATTTAGTTTTTATGTGTGTGATTATCTCCGTGTACACACACCCAGGCACAAACACACATACATGTGAATCACTAACTTTCATGTGAATTTGGTGTCTTGTGGTGCTAGTCCTACCATCAACAAGTGTAGGCTTAGAAAAACATTTCATGCACAGCATGAATATCTAGCACAAGTGTGCAAATGGTGGCACTTGCCTTGTGATCATCATTTACAACACTTGTGATGATGTTGTATGTAGGTTTGCAGTTGTGCAGATGTAACATCTGCTTGAGCAACCACCTTGATTTCAAAGTGAAAAAGAACTTATTTCCAGGAAAAGATTATACCTGATATGTTGCAGAACCAACCTGAAAACTAACCAACCATGTCACAAACAACAAAAAAAGACCTTTTAACCGTAGTCTGAAAAAAGTTTTTCAAAATTGCTTGAAAAGTAACTTTAGTTACAGATCTCCAGCCTGGAACAATGGCACAATGGTACCTTTTCAATGTGAAACCTCTAGCGTTCAAAGGAAAATAAATTCATTAGGCAAATCATGCATAACTTGCTTTCTTATCTTTGAGACTAACAGCAAAGGTTTGGTGATAATCAAGGGGTGGGAACACTGCCCAATCAGTGTTTTGAGGATTTCTGTTGTGAATAAGATAACAAACTGCTGATGAGGTCCACTCATGTTGTGTGTCAGACTGCGCAGTCGTCATGTGCAATCAGTTCAGTCCAAATCTCCGTGGGGATGCTTTGAAGGCATCTGAGCTTCACTAGGATCCCCTGCATGCTTAAAGGGAATTGCACATTCAAACACTTCACTCAGCACCATGATTACTTGGACTCTTGGACTCAAATCAGCTGTCTTCTAAGCAAAGCAAAAAAGCAAGCCATCACAGTGAATACTGCAAGGTGGGGAGTCTGCTCTTGGAGGACAAAGCCCTATGCAACCAGACCAATTCTGAGCCTGGGACCCCTTCCAACCCAAATTATTCTGTGATTATACATTGTATCCACTGTTTTGTATTTTCATGTACAAGGTTGTGCTGACCTAGGTTTGCACATGTAGCTTCTGCACCATCCCCATGTTGGGTCAGCAGAAGCTTGGTTGCACTCAGTGTTGCCAGGACCACTAAACTTCTGCCATTGAAACCAAGCTAATGATATGGCAGCTGATACCATGCATAGGCAGACAGAAAGACACAGGGCACAGGGTTTTTCTATCTACCAAAGTGAATGGGTCTGAAAACTGGAGAAAGGCATTAAGTACTGGTTTCATATATATTGTCTGGGCTCTTTCCTAATGCTAGTCTAGCACCTAATCCCTGGCTTTTCATTCCCTTTTTCTCCTCTCACCATTCCTACAGCTACATTATTAGTCCTGTCATCTCAAGGTCTATATAAGACGGGTTACAATTAACCAAGCATTTTGATAACCTAAGAGCAGCAGGAGGAAAAGTTCTGGTCTGTGCTTTAATTTTGGGTCGGACCCTTTCTGTCAGTGTTAACTTCTATGATGCATTGCCTTGAGCAAACATAGTAAGTAATAAGAAGTTCCTGAGTTTATAATTGAGTTTGTTGAATATCTTCCAAGTCTTCTCTGCTCTGTTTCCTACACAGAAGACACAAAATACACCCAGTGCATATGACTAAAAAAACACCAGAAAACCTAGAAAGAAGTGGTTAAATTGACCTACATACTAGCAATTTTGCTGACCAGATTACTTAAAAGGCTAAAGGGCTGCAGCTGTCAAATCCATATATGTATCAGTAAAATGATCATGATAATCACAGCTTATAAAACAGAGCTGAAATGCTTCATTAGGTACTGACAGTTTCTAAACCATGTTGTCACTTTCTGAAAATATGTCACACTGGCATTTATTTTTTTTTTTTCTAGATATGGAGAAAAAGAGAATTGCACTGTGAAGCATGGATGAGTTGAAAGCAAATCAAAGAGGTCTCTTTTGAGCCAATGGTGAAATCACCGTTCTCTTTCAGCAAAGCAGGACAATGTATTAAATAAAACTGCTCTTAACCTGAATCCCTTGGGTTTCCTGTAGTTATTCTATTGAAAAGCAGGTTTAAGAAGTACAGATTTCAACAGCTTTAAATTGCCAGTAGCTCCATGTAAGGAAATGTAAAATTTAAAGGTAAAGCGAATTCATTGCTGCAATCATATTATGATAACCTGCACTTGAGATTGTTCATTTTTAAAAACTTTTGGTTTGGCTTTATTTTCTTTTTTTTAAGTTGTATTCTGGGAAATTTGTTTTATGCTTTGTCCCATATAATTTACCTGTTATTTTTCAGATAATTCTAAGAAAGAGAGGAATATTTTACTCAGAAATGTGACATAAGCGTTTGGGAAAAATATGTTGTTGTGTAGTCTAAGTGAATGGTGCACTTAACCCTCCTTTTCAGAATGTTATTTGAGTAATACTTTAATAATGACTTTGCTTACTCCTGCATATTTTAATAATGGTACCTTTCACGGAAGCTCTTTATAATAAAGTAAGATCATAGAATCATAGAATAATTAGGGTTGGAAAGGACCTTAAGATCATCTAGGTCCAACCCCCCTGCTGTGGGCAGGGACACCTTACGCTAAACCATATCATCCAAGGCTTCGTCCAACCTGGTCTTGAACACTGCCAGGGATGGAGCATTCACAACCTCCCTGGGCAGCCTGTTCCAGTGCCTCACCACCCTAACAGGAAAGAATTTCCTTCTTATATCTAACCTAAACTTCCCCTGTTTAAGTTTTAACACGTTACCCTTGTCCTATCACTACAGTCTCTAATGAAGAGTCCCTCCCCAGCATCCCTATAGGCCCCCATCAGATACTGGAAGGCTGCTATGAGATCTCCATGCAGCCTTCTCTTCTCCAGGCTGAACAGCCCCAACTTTCTAGCCTGTCTTCATACGGGAGGTGCTCCAGTCCCCTGATCAGCCTCGTGGCCCTTCTCTGGACTTGTTCCAACAGTTCCATGTCCTTTTTATGTTGAGGACACCAGAACTGCACACAATACTCCAGGTGAGGTCTCACAAGAGCAGAGTAGAGGGGCAGGATGACCTCCTTCAACCTGCTGGTCACGCTTCTTTTGATGCAGCCCAGGATACGGCTGGCTTTCTGGGCTGCAAGCGCACACTGAAGCCGGCCCATGTTCATTTTCTCATCCACCAACACCCCCAAGTCCTTCTGCCCAGGGCTGCTCTGAATCTCTTCTCTGCCCAACCCGTAGCTGTGCCTGGGATTGCTCCAACCCAGGTGTAGGACCTTGCACTTGTCATGGTTAAACTTCATGAGGTTGGCATCAGCCCACCTCACAAGTGTGTCAAGGTCCCTCTGGATGGCATTCCTTCCCTCCAGCGTATCAACCAAACCACACAGCTTGGTGTCATTGGCAAACTTGCTGAGGGTGCACTCAATCCCACTGTCAATGTCAGCAGCAAAGATGTTGAACAAGACCGGTCCCAACACTGATCCCTGAGGGACACCACTCATTACTGGTCTCCAGCCAGACATTGAGCCATTGACCACAACTCTTTGCATGCGGCCATCCAGCCAGTTCTTTATCCACCGAGTGGTCCATCCATCAAATTGATGTCGCTCCAATTTAGACAAGGATGTTGTGTGGGACAGTGTCGAACGCTTTGCACAAGTTCAGGTAGGTGACATCAACTGCTCTACCCCTGTCCATCAGTTCTGCAGCCAAATCATAGAAGGCCACCAAATTGGTCAGGCAGGATTTCCCCTTAGTGAAGCCATGCTGGCTGTCACCAAGCACCTTGTTGATTTTCATGTGCCTTAGCATGCCTTCCAGGAGAATCTGCTCCAAGATTTTGCCAGGCACAGAGGTGAGACTGACTGGTCTGTAATTCCCTGGGTCATCCATTTTCCCCTTCTTGAAAATGGGGGTTATATTTCCCTTTTTCCAATTGTTTGGAACTTCACCTGACTGCCATGATTTCTCAAATATGATGGACAGTGGTTTCGCAACTTCATTTGCCAGCTCCTTCAGGACCCGCAGATGGATCTCATCAGGACCCACGGACTTGTGCACAAGTTTGAATCTACAGATATGCAGCACGCATACCAATACACACCATACATATCAACACATACCATATCCACCAAACTGATCTGCAAAGTCCCTCCTGTGAAGGATTTTCTAACAAGAAGAGCATTTCAAGTGATCCAGAAAGTCTGGTGGAAGTGGCCCAAGTAACCATTTTTCATTTATTACATGTAACCACCAAAATAATTAACCTTGTAATATGGAGAAATAATGAGGCTGCTCTGGAGTACAACCCTTTAATTTGTCTCATAAGGATTCATACAGATTCTTCTTCTTTTTCTCTTCTTCATGTGTTTTGTCGTCACTGCCGCATTGCTCTGCCACCAGCTCTAGGAAGCAAGAATGGGTTGGCATAAATGATTACAGATGTACAAATACACAATACTCACCATCTAGGTAAAGATAGTGGCAAGGAGACTTCAGCTATAGCAGCACCAGAAAGAATCATACTGGACTTAATCCTCAAAGTAAGGATGAGAATAAAATAATAACCTGAGAGGTGGTCAGAGGTCATGTAAGAGTAGGGTGAGATCATCTTATATTTTAAGCTATTAAACGAAAAAAAGGAGAACATTTACTTATTAATATCATTTCCTAATCATTCTTATAAGATTTTAATGAGTGACAAACTGACTCTGGATACAAATTTATGATTTCCCAAAATAACAGTTTGATTGGTTTGAGTGATGTCTTGCATCAGTTAATCACAGTTAATTTTGCTTCTGAAGCGATTTGACTTTGCCAGTCTATCACAGCTTCCATGTGCACAGCTATATTTCCACAGCTGTATCTCTTTCCTTTGTCTACTGTAACCCCCAGGACCCAGGGAGACACTCTTCTCCAACCTTCCTTCCTGCTCTATGCATGGACCAGCTCACACATACTTATCTGTTTGTCTAGCTATTTTCTTCTTTTTGTGTGAGTCTTCCCCACCCTATGCTCAACTTCTAGCCTTGGTTTCTTAGCAGAGTCAGAAAGCAGAAATAATTACAATGAGAAGACTAACCTGTAGCAGTCTGTGTGTTGGCTTCCTCCCATTTCTATTATATTAAAAAAAGCCCAGAGAGGAAGAAATCTTTGCAAAGGCCTGTAGAGACAGAACAAGGGAGAATGGCTTTAACCTGACAAAGGTCTTAGGCAGAAGTTCTTCCCTGTGAGGGTGGTGAGGCCTTGGTACAGGTTGCCCAGAGAAGCTGTAGCTGCCCCATCCCTGCGACCTGGTCTAGTGGAAGGTGTCCTTGCTCGTGGCAGGGGGGTTGGAACTGGATGAGCTTTAAGGCCCCTTCTAATAGAAACCATTCTATGGTTCTATATCATAATTGTCCCTAGCTACTTTCCTGATACCATAATAATAGAATAAAGGGAAAGGATATGTGCCACGCCTGCCTTAGTGAGGTTAATCTGAGAAGGGGAGTTCTTCTGTTTTCTTACACTTACACAACCACAGCTTGCCCAAGAAGTAATGTTAATATAGATCTTGTGCTGTACCTGGAAGTACTGAAGCCACAGTTTTTAACTTTAATGCCAAAGTCAGGCCTGCAAACTGGTGTTACACATCTAAATAAATATGGTTTGCCTCGAAGGGAACAGCCTTAGGAGCCAAAGGTATCTAGTGCTTAGATAAAGCACTGATATCAAATTCTCTGATGCAAATGACTCCCTCTCCAATGCAATCACCCTGAGTTCAACTGTTATGTATGTATGTGTGGATGAAGGCTGTAGTGAGCAGGGAGGCAAAGATGAAATAGTGACAGCAGCATTGCTTGCTGAAGAATGAACCTATTACAAAGGAAAAGTTAAGGGTAAACCACTCTACAACAATGGCAGAGGACTCACTTAGATATGTGGATGCTGTTGGCTGACTCGCAGTGCAAAACCAGGCAACTGCTCACCAGATGTGTTCATCTATATGCGTGCTACCCTGTCGCCGTACACAGCCTGTTGCATACCACAAATGTATTGCTTAGGGTGGGCTGTGAGAAGCAGAAAGGAAGGCCAGAGCACAGCTGACATTTTTATTTTTACTGTTTGTTTTATATCCTCCCACTCTTCATTTTCCTCCTCCTACAACCTGGTGCTGCATACTGATGAGAAAATACTTGGTTCAGACCCCAGCAGTTATTTTTGGTTATTAAGGTTGGTGCTGGCTGCCCAACCTACACTTTTTAACTTGCCAGAGTTGCATGGAACCATTGGGTTTGCATTGTCAGCATTTAAGGGGGCATTTAAAAAGGATTCTGAAAACACTCACACGCGTGCATGAATCTAGGTACAAATGCATGTACAGAGCCTTCCACCCCATGCATTACATTAGGCAGAAGAAACTATCTTTGGACAGGTTTCACAGATATTCTGTCCTTTCCAGCATTTATAAGAAACTCTTGTAAAAATAAAGAAAAATAACAAATGAAGGTGCTGGATGATGAAATAAGAAAGTATGTTGTTAGGAAAAGAACATGCAACTGAAAGGATATGGGGACATGTGGCACCAGAGAAGGACATATATGTTTCTGTCCACTTGGAGAGTGAGGTCTGTAAATTTATATAAAAAAAATATTAGGGAGAAACCCTGGGATTAAGTGATTTGAACAGTGAGCTTCCTCCTCATCGTTTGTGGAAGGACAAGAAATCAAAGAATACTCCTGTCACTAAACGGAGCACTCAACTCCCATGTTATACAGTTCATATGGCAAAAAGCAAACCATTTCCCAAATCCAGAGCAGTTCAGCATCTTTGCCTTCCCCAAGAGAGCTCTGACTGAGACATTTTCACTAATGGCATCACAGCAGGGCTCAT